AGTGGCACCTGCTCAAGATTCTCAAACATGCCACATTGGGTTGAGATTTAGATTCTAGCCTTGAAAATAATTCTAGGCTCTGTGGTTCTCTCAGTACAGCAGGTCAGCACGCCTCCATGCTGCCTGTGACAAGAATCCATCAGAGGGCAAATCCCACAGACAGGGTCTTCCTCTGTGACTCTCAATAGGATTCTGGCCTGGAGTCAGCTCAGACTGAATGTCCCAGAGCCTACCTGTCTGTTTTCTTTAAAGTCTCAGGTCTTTTATCTCACCCCAGGCTTCTCAGTCCCAGTGAGAAGTATTCTCTGTGCCTGGTAAAATTCCCACTGGGGAGCTGAAAGTAGGAGATGCACTGGAGTGAGAACCCTGATACTCAGCTTCTGTATCAGCTTGTTAGATTCCTCCTGGCACACTAAGACCAACTTTTTTGAGATTTGTCTCATCTATTCTGCTTCAATTTTCCTGTCTGTGAAAAAAACATGACAGATTTTAAGTCTCAGAAAGCCAAACCTTTGTTAAGTTCTTTAAGATACTCCCATGGGAAATAAGAGAATAATACTTTACACTTATGATTAGAAGAATAGGGACTGCTTTGCGACCAAGATCAGTCAAGCTTGGCTTTGGTTAGCTCTGCCATTGTTTATTGCAGCACTCACTCTGACTTTCTCCTTTCTTTCCATCTGACGAGTTCTGAGCTTCTTACTCCAAACACATACACATGCTCACAAGTATATAAAACACAAATGGAGCTCTAGCTTCTTTCAAAAGCAATGGCATTTCAAGAAATAAATATAAATGTATTCTTCTGGGATTGTTACTGTAAGTGCTGCCAAAACTCATCTTTGGTATGTATGTTTGGAATATGTGTGCTATTGGCTGTAAATTGTCTTTTATTATTCCATGGCACCTTGTCCAGGGACACACTATAAAACAAGATGTAGCATCTTCATGTGCTAGCCTGATAAAATTTATATGAAGTATAATAGAAAACAGAAGTTGTTCTGAGCTGTTTTCAAGTTCAATAAATAACTGTAATACTCGGATAAAGATGTTCTTTATTAGGTCACATGGGCCCTAATATATAAGTTATAAGTTACCGATTTAGGGTGGCTTTTGCAATTACAAGTTTCCAGTCGGATTATTAATCATTGTGAACAGAAATATTTCTAAACCCTCCTGTGTACCTCCTGCTCGTTGTCTGGTTGTCTAGAGGGCTTTTGATTCTGATTCAGTGCAGGCAAGTGACAAGGGGGTGGGTGGTCTCCACTCAGGCCCTTGTCAGGCCTCTTGTGATGACAGGAATCCATTTTCAGTAGCCAATTTAACAACCAAAGGCCATCCGTCATGGAAAAGTTTGTTATGGAGATGCTGTGGGGAATGAGAGACTATAACCCATCCCAGCCCCAACCCCAAGGAATGCAACAGTGAGAATGAAGACTGAATCACATTTTCCAGAGTAAAGACTCACCCTATACTTTGTTTTGCTCTCTGATTTTTCCTAAAAAATCTTTATGAGGACCAAATTGGGAGGTCATAGTGGAGTATAAGGTGCAGAGGCTTTGAGCTCCTAAACAGTTTTTTAAATTAACATAGCTTTGAGATTAAATGTATACTTCTAATATAGATTTCACGAGGATTACTACTAAAAATTATCCTCGTCCCATTGGTCTTTTCCAAGAAAGGAGAAAGTTAAGGGCTTGTTGATCCACTTCTCTACTCTTGGCGTGTATTTTTCATCATTCTCATAACATGCCTACATATCCCTATCCACACACCCAATAGTAAGACCTATTGTACCCTCAAATCTTATCTGGAACCACATTATTAATATTCCATAGAAAATTACAACTCCATTTCAGCAAGGTCAGCCCTCATTAAAAGTTACTGAAAGTCTCAGATTCCTACTGCCTTTCAGACCATTTCCTACCATCTTCACCAAGGAGATGCTCTAGAGTGAACTGAGAAGTTTCATTTGGCAGCTACAGAGGTAGGGATGTGTATATGTGCTAGGCTGTTGAGTCTAAATGCAGAGGTTCCCCTAGAATAGCCCTTGGTTTGAATCGATCTTGTGTTGGGACATTTCCGAATAGAAGTGATTCTGAGGGTGGTTTCCCACCATATTTAGAGAGTAAATATCAAATCCATAGCGTCTCACATTTAACTCGTAGAAGAATCAGATTCCCCCTGCTCTCTGTGTTTGTTTCTAGTTTTTTCCCCAATGTCTTGATGTGGAATTGGAAAACAAATGGCTAGCTATAATGGTGACATACATTGGGTTCTTATGTGGCTCATTTTTTATCAGGCTAGGAGGAATACCTGTGGGAGTTGTTGCTGTAGAAACCCGAACAGTAGAGCTAAGTATCCCAGCTGATCCAGCAAACTTGGATTCTGAAGCCAAGGTAGGCTACTTAAGTACACTGTGAGCCTGTGCTTGGAGGGTTTTTCTCTTTGCAGTGCCTGTGGATACATCAGGAGCATTGCAAACCATCAGTTTTAGAGGGAAGGGCATCAGCAGCCTTGAATGATTTTAGAACATCATGTGCTCACTTTTAAGATAAGTCTAGATGGACTAGAAGCTAAATTCTGCCTCAAAAATTAAATAAGTCTTTACAGTAGTCTTCTTGATGCTAGAAAACAGTATACTTTTGTTGGGGAGATGGTCTTCCAGAAAGGCAGCTGAGATAATACTGAAGGCTCTTTGGTCCCCGATTCTTTGAGTATACACATGGAAGAGCTACAACTAGAGTTAATGGTGAAGTCTTGCCCTAACGCAAAGCGCGAACACCACAGCCTTTTTTTTTTTTTTTTTTTTTTTTTTTGAGACATGGTTCGTGGCCCAGGCTGGAGTGCAGTGGTGTAATTTTGACTCACTGCAGCCTTGACCTCCTGTGCTCAAGGGATCCTCCCACCTTGGCCTCCCAAAGTGTTGGGATGAGCCACTGTGCCTGGTCCCATTTTTTTTTTAAAGGATGGATTACATTTTCACATCCTGACACCATTCAGAAAGTGAGGGGTCAGGGAGGCCAGGGAGGAGGCTATTCAGCAGTGTGACATCAAGTGTCTATTGATTAGCTACAGTACAGGAAAATGCTATACTAAGCACAAAGGCGAAAGGACTGGGAGACTATGTACAATTGACTTGCTTTAACGAGTAGCACAATGGGGCCATTTTAAGTAGCTTTTGAGAAACCTAGAACAAGGGTCCTTAGGACTGCATTCTTCCCTTTTGACTACAGAGTTGTTATAATCAGGACTTAAAAAGAATAGTATTTAACAAGGTCAAAGATCCAGGATCCTTTCTTCTTTTTTACTCCAAACATGATGATCTGATGAACAGTAGTTTTTGTTGGTCTGATTTTTAGTTTTCAGTTTTAAATAAGTAAAATCTTGTTCACTTTGGAGAGATTTCCCCCTGGAGCTGTGTTGTTAATTGTGTCTTCTTTGACTTTTCCCAATAGATAATCCAGCAGGCTGGCCAGGTTTGGTTCCCAGATTCTGCGTTTAAGACGTATCAGGCCATCAAGGACTTCAACCGGGAAGGGCTGCCTCTGATGGTCTTTGCCAACTGGAGAGGCTTCTCTGGTGGAATGAAAGGTGACTGGCCTGCCTGTGGGCTGGAGGGGCATCACTGATTACTGGGCACTCTGCAGCAGAGGAAGTGTGTAGGTTCAGCGGAATCTGTGGGTGTCCTAATAGCCTAGGCTTTTTGGGGATTCTGCCCTCTCTGAGACATCTTTTGAGTTGCAACTTGAATGGAAAAAAGTACACTTTATAATTTATAATTCCATACACAATTTCAGAATAATCTACTACTAGTGTTATTGAGGTGACCTACTGTTACGGATTTAGCTCCGGTACTGAATTTGAAAATGAACAAATTCAGTACCGGAGGCTGTTCTTTGTGGCAATTTGTGCTGTTGTATTATTATATAACAACAGCCCTGAGCCTGTGGCTCCAGCATATTAGACCATTATTATAAAGGCTCTACTCCATGCTATGGGAATTGCTAAGTAATTAGGCAGCCAGTATCACCATTTACGGAGAATCCTTAATGTGTAGAGCAACTGTGGACACTACAGGGAGAGCCCAAGGAAACACCACCTCTTATAGTAGTGAAGCTCTCTCTCTCGTGGCCAGAGAATTCATGGCCATGCTAAGCCAGAGACTACATACCTGGAGGGCATGAGAGTATGCTAAGTATAAATTCCATCTGTCTTGGGGAGAATTTGGGGTTCTAGGATAGGGCCAGGCATGGTGGATCACCTGAGGTCAGGAGTTCGAGACCAGCCTGTCCAACATAGTGAAACCTTGTCTCTACTAAAAATACAAAATTAGCCAGTTGTGGTGGTGCATGCCTATAATCCCAGCTACTTGGGAGGCTGAGGCAGGAGAATCACTTGAACCCGGGAGGTGGAGGTTGCAGTGAGCTGAGATTGCACCACTGCGCTGCAGCCTAGGCAGCAGAGGAAGACTCCATCTCAAAGAAAAGAAAAGAAAATGCTTAGGGACATACAAAATGTGAAACAAGGAACTCTCAATAGGGCACTTAAAAATAGCTTAGGGTGGAAGCACCCCCAGCCTGTGAGGGAGGAAAAGCCTGGGGAAACTACCAGATGGTCAGTTTTGTGGCAAGAGGGATTTGAAATTTTTGCCGACAATGTTTCCTTACTTGTCTAGGAAGAGCCCTGTATGGCCAGGCCTCGTTGGCAAAATGTAGACTAGGTTGATTTTGTGTGTGTATGTGTGTGTGTGTGTGTGTGTGTGTGTGTGTTTGTGTGTGTGTGTTTGTGTGTGTTTGGTTTTTTTTTTTTTTGGTTGAAAAGTTTACCTTTGCCTATATTTGCTGGAGAACTACCATATTTTATACTTTTCTTGGGGGAGTCTTGGACTATACATCCAAATTAATGATTGTATATATTTTTTAGATTATCACGGTGAATTATTTTTTGACCAAGATAATAAATTAGCAGAAATACCATGAGAAATTGAGAGTATACGGTTAAGTCAATCCTACACATTTTTATTGAGTTCTGTGTGTTAGGAATGATGCTACCCACTTCAGAGAACAAAAATAAGTCAAAATAAGTCAGAAACAGACATTGCCTCACAGAGACAAGAGAAATGTCTTGAGCAAAATGATAAAGCCATAGTGTATAAACAAAATACCAGGATGTTCAAAAGAAGATGGTAGTTGTATAACAAAGGGTAGGGGGACCTGAAACCCCCTCATTCATATATATGAGGTTCATTCAGCATTAGATTTCACTTGATCCCACATTCCTTGGCTCTAGTATTTTTGTTGAGACCTGGGAGAGAATGCTATGCTATTACTCCTTACTTACCTCTTTGTGGGGGGCCCATTGAGAATGTACTCTTTCTGACATTACTTTGGAGTGTCACCCTGGATATTTTATCCTAACTGAAGTTCAGAGTTCAAAAGTTTCCAATGTAGCAATTCTAGGAAAAGCTTCAATTCTGCTACATATTTTGGCTCAGGCCCAGATTGGCTGCCACGCTGTAACAATAAGAACAACAACAATTAAGGTTCATTGAGCTCTTTTCACCAGAAACTTGTGCTAACAATTTTACATGTATTATCTTACATAATCATCACAACAAGCTCCTCTAAGGGGTAGGTTATATTGTTATCCACATTTTACATAAATTAAGATTTATGTAAATTAGGTTAAGTAAATTTCCCAAGCTCATTCAGCTAAAAAATGGCAGAGTTGGGAAAGGAAGGTGGATCTGTCTGACTCCCTGTAACACAGTTGGCTGATTTAGAGCCTAAGACCAGAACTAGATCTACTAGAATATCCCTATAACAGAATGTCAAGGTTCCTGAAAAAGTTATTATCCCACCTACTTCCCCTCTACTTTGGGGGTGTCCTTGGTTATTGTGAAAAGAAATTTCAAGAGCTCAGAAATGAGTTCATTTTTTATTGTGGTAAAATATACATAATATTTATCATTTTAATTATTTGTAAGTGTACAATTCAGTTGCATTAAATACATTCACAGTGTTGTGTAACTATCAAACTTTTCATCATCCTCAACATAAACTCTATACCCCTTACACAATAAGTACCCATTCCTTTCTCCCCGCTGCCCTTGGTCTGAAATGAGTTTTTGGCCTGATATATAGACCAGGGCAAGTTCTGTCTTCTTAATTTTGGTGCTGATGCATCCTTTTACACCTCGCATAAGACAAATAAGATTTAGGGAAGATAGAGATCCCTGTGAAGGTAGGAGGGGGAGGAACAGTGCCTTTCATATTTACATACAGGTCAGGGTGTTGTCTACGTATTATCTCATGTAAAGGGACCTAAACTGAGGGCCTCTTGTCATTCTTCACATCCCTTGGGGAGATGTTTGCAGTTTTGGTTTCAATACTGACTGGGGATTATGCAGGGAGGGAAAATAAACAATTATGCCATCCCTCAGTGCACACAAACACACAGCCAGGAGCCGACTGCACTGTGGGTAAAATGACTCCAAAATTGTGTGTAATGAGTAGGAAAAGATTAGAGACAGCTCTTGCTATGCTGAAAATTGACATTAGTGGAGGGGGAAAAAAAAAAACTCTTTACTAGTCGGCCTAGGAGGTCTAATTCGAGCAGTAAAAATATAAATAAATAAATAAAAGCATGTCAAGATGGTATTGGTGCTTTTTTTCCAATGAGCTCTATCTGGCCGGAAGGCTATTCAGCATAATGCAAAATTAAATTATAAAAACTGGCTGAATATTTAGATGGAAGAGCCATTTGGAAGCAGTTTATTTAGACGAACCGGCAATGACCCACAACAGGGAGACATCAAGCGTGAAATTTACTAGAAATTAGCACCAGGGTCCCAGCCTCAGCATGAATAGCTTGATAGGATGCAAATCCCAGTGATATTAAGCTGCCTCACTGCTGGTGCTACAGGGTCACTCTCAGTTGGCTTTTCATGTTATACTTATTATTTTTTCCTGGGACAGGTTATAAATAACAATAAAAAAACATTTATTGAAAACTTTAACCGGAATGAAAGTCTATTTTAAAGTCTCTGATTACTTGGATGTTGAAATACAGTGTCAGCCGATCATAATGAACTAAGGAGAGACATTATGTATATGTAGCTTGTGTATGGCTAATGTTTACCTTCAGTTTCTAACAGATAATCTTGCCCAAGCCAATAAGATCTGTTTCGTTTTCAAGAGTGTGTGACACTGTGGAAACACTCTGCCACCCTATTCCCTTGTTTGATACACATGGTTGCCACAGTTTATCCATGTTTATAACAATAAAAGCCCTAGGCAGGGTTGGTGCCTAGGTGCTGAGAGCACACTGCAAAGGTTGTGTGTGATCACCATTCATGCAGATGTGCTTGGCCCAGCATGCTAGAAAACTCCAAGCTCCCGCCTCTCCAGTGAAGAACCTATCAGTATTTTCCATTCCCAGTTGCGTTTCTCAGGGCCTGAGAATTGACAGCATATGCATAGCTTTAAAATTCTGTAGACTGATTTCTAACCTAAACCCTTGGGGGATCACCCCTCCCCTGCTGCTCTTGGCTGTGCTTTTGCTCTGTCTCTTAAATATGAAGGGATTTCAGACAATTGTGTGTCAGATTGTTGCCAAGTGTTTCAACCTGCCTTTCAAAATATGTGGTTTGGGGCAGCTGCAGTTAGTCTGAGCATGTTGATTACAGAGTTTATTTGTGTGTTTGTTGATATTTTAATAGCCTGCTTTTTGGGTGTTTTGATGTTTGGGCTGTGGGTCTGTAGGTGTTCCAAGTTAGATGGAGGCAATATATTAGTCCCAAACATGTGAGCTTTAACAAACCCTGATGCTCCTTTCCTACCCACAGTCTTGGGGCTGAAAAATATTTGTTTGGCAGTCAGATCCAAGCCTCACACAGGCTGGTAGTGTTATCAGTATAGTTTTGAACGTTTCTGAACACAGGAAATCCAGCAACCGTTGGGAATATTCAATCATGTATTCAAGTCTCTTTTTCTGGTTTTATTTTACTCATCATATTAGATGTTGGAAAGCAGAGTACTTTCCAACAGTCTCATGCTGTCTCTCCTAGCAGTAAGAATGAAGTAGTAGAGGCCGGGCACAGTGGCTCACACCTGTAATCCCAACACTTTGGAAGGCCGAGGTGGGTGGATGGCTTGAGCTCAGTGAGACCAATCTGGGCAACATGGTGAAACCCCGTCTCTACAAAAAATACAAAAATTAGATGCGCATGGTGGCACACACATGTAGTCTCAGCTACTTGGGGTGCCGATGGAGGAGGGTCGCCTGAACCCAGGAGGCAGAGGTTGCAGTGAGCTGAGGTTGTGCCACTGCACTCCAGCCTGGGTGACACAGCGAGACCCTGGCACCCTGCTCCCCACCTCAAAAAAAAAAAAAGAATGAAGTAGTAGAATGTGCACATTAGGGCCAACAAGATCTAGATTTGAGTCTTATCTCCACCACTCACTCTTATTTAAATAAGCCTCAGTTTACTCACCTGCAACTTGGATATATAAATAAGATGATGTTCTGATGATTAAATGATTTATATGTGTGTATATATAATCATGTTCCCTGGTACGCAGTAAGCTAGCCATGATGATGACAAAAAGCAGCCCACGTCCATTTCATAAAAGTAAAAATCGCACACACACACTCATCTTCATTCGAAACTGTTTGCATATACCAAAAATCTAGTATTTTTTAAAACAGATGAATGAAAATACATTTTAAATAAAGTCTCCCCCTTTTTGGGATGTCAATCTGTTAATTATAATACAGAGATAGATTTTGTTATTGCTAAGTCTTTAACAAGAAGAAGTGAGTAAAAGAGCTGGAAACTTTGTCTTCACTTACCTCTAACTTTTTTTTCTTTTTCAGGTAGAATGACTTTTTGTGCTGTCTTTTATTGCTTTATTTTCTCCTTTTATCTATACCTTCCATTTCCTCTCTTTGCATGATATCGTTGAGGGACACTCTTTTCTGTTACTTGTTCTGAGACTGTACTCTTGGCAGCACTGAAAAATGTACTGCTAATTACACAATTATTTTATTATGTAGCACTGGTTGAAATATCCACTAAAGAATTAATTTAGTTAAAATAATTTGAACTGAGCAATTATTTTCATAACCACAGAATTAGCGTAAAGCGCTTAAAGTCCTTTATTCCCTGCTCTTCATACAGCAGTTGTGTAATTAGCAGTAAATTTTTTTGGTCTTAGCTTTTCTCCCAAAGGAATAAATGTCTTCACTCTGATCATATACATGGAGTATATAATCATACACATTCCACATAGAATAGGGAGTGTTTTCTGGGGCAACTTGAAATTTCTGAAGTATTCACAGACACACCAGGTTGGGGCAGTGGAGCATATGCCTTGCAGTGAACTATGCTCACTGATGGTTTGTATATTAAGCCATTTTTACTTTGGAGAAGGTGGCAGTTTAATTTACCAGTAACTACAATGAAAGCAATTTCTATTTGGTTTGCTCTTAACTTCCTGAAAAATGCTTCTTTGCCTTGGATTCCCAGAATTGATTTATTCCAAATTGAGATCCTCTCCTTGATAAGAAAGTTTGAACTCAGTTGAACCTGTTATTTGGTATTTAGAAAGGATCCATTATGGCTCCACTGAAGTACTCATTAAACATCTGGACTCATAAACCTAAAACTTTAGCAATGGACTTCAGTGAGCTGGGAAATGGGAAGTCCGTAAAAAGTTGGGAAATAAATAACTGATCCAGTTTTCCAGGGACTCACTTTATGTATACATCATGGGTCCTTTTCTTCAGGCTGCTCCTGGCTTTGGAGGAATTACAAAATGTACTCTTTTTTTTTTTTTTTTTTTTTTTAAGGCAGGGTCTCGCTCTGTTACCCACACTGGAGTACAGCAGCATGATCAAGCTCACTGCAGGTCTCAGCCTCCTAGGCTCAAGTGATCCTGCCACCTCACCCTCTGGGGTTGCTGCTGGGACTATGGGAATGTGCCACCATGTTTTGCTAATTTTTTTTATTTTTTGTAGCGATAGGGTCTCTCTCTATTGGTCTTGAACTCCTGGGCTCAAGCGGTCCTCCCACCTCAGTCTCCCAAAGAGCTGTGATTATAGGTGTGAGCTACCATGCCCAGTCTACAAAACATACTCTTTAGCAGAATGAAGAGGTGGCTCTTCTCTTGTTTTTTGTTTATTTTGTTTTATGTTGTTTTTGAGACAGAGTCTTGTTCTGTCACCCATGCTAAAGTGCAGTGGCAAGATCATGGCTCCCTGTAGCCTCGACCTCTTGGGCTCAAGTGATCCTCCCACCTCAGCCAAGTAACTGGGACTGCAGGCATGTACCATCATGCCCAGCTAATTTTTTTATTATTTGTAGAGACGGGTTCTCACTATGTTGCCCTGGTTGGGTCTCTTCTTCTCATGTGGCTGTGTAGCATTTCCTAAATATTTTTTAAAATTTTCTGTCACTGATACCGTATAAAAATGCAACTGTCAAAGAATTTGTTTTTCTTTCTCATTATAT